CAAGTGTGTATCTTTACAATCTAATTTGAGTTATTCTTGCATTTCCAAAATATATTAAGAATAGTTATTTATATTTAGAGATGAGCTGGCTCTCTATGGATGTCAGAGGTTGGTATGCTTCTTTAATCTAAAGCCAGTTAATTTTTTTCCCAATGGGTTTGGATCCAGTGTAAAAACCAGACAACATTAAATCAGCCTGGCTAAACAGCTCTTAACAAAGTCCACTCCCTAGGATTCTCTTCAGAGACCTTCTACCCACTAAGCTATGAAAACACCAAAATGTCTTTGGGTAACATATCTGCAACCTTGCTGTTCACATCAGCCTAAGTCTGGTTCAAAGCATTACAGCTCATGGGATTTTTTTTTTCAAAAGAGTATGTGCCAGCTTCTACTCCATCACATTTCTGAAATTTCATTAGGTCTTTAGGCATGTTGGATATACTGTATTGCCCTCTGCCACTTTACTAAAGTAGTGTAAAAATACTACACCAGTGCATATGTCCCCAAGCCTTATGCTTTTTTTATACTCTCTGTAGGAAATTTTGGATAAGTTTTATCTTCTATCCTATGCTGAATAAATTTTCTAGTAGAAAGCATGGCTTCTTTTTATTGCTTCTTTTGTCTCACTGAGATCCATACATATCCTCCTGGACTGCTCAGTTTTGTGCTTCCATATGTATCATTCATCTTTCCTTGTGATTTAAGAACTGTATTGTTTTTTAATTTTATCATTTTACACTTATAGGTACATATGTAAGGTGTGTATGTTGGTGTATGCATGTGCACAGATGTGCATAGTTGTACTTCACTTCTAGTCTCGTGACTTAATAAAGACAAAAAAAATATTTGTTTCAACATAAACTATTTTCTTTTATAGTAGTAGTAGTAGTAGTAGTAGTAGTAGTAGTAGTAGTAGTAGTAATAATAATAATAATAATAATAATAATAATAATAATAATAATAATAATAATAATAATAATAAAGTTGGAAGGGACCTTGGAGGTCATCGAGTCCAACCCCTTGCTCAGGCAGGAAACCCTACATTATTTCGGACAAATGGCTGTCCAGTCTTTTCTTAAAAACTTCCAGTGTTGGAGCATTCACCGCTTCTGGAGGCAGGTTGTTCCACTGGTTAATTGTTCTCACTGTCAGGAAGTTTCTCCTTAGTTCTAGGTTGCTTCTCTCTTTGATTAGTTTCCATCCGTTGCTTCTTGTCCTGCCTTCAGGTGCTTTGGAGAATAGCTTGACTCCCTCTTCTTTGTGGCAGCCCCTGAGATATTGGGACACTGCTATCATGTCCCCCATCGTCCTTCTCTTCATTAAACTAGACATATCCAATTCCAGCAACCGTTCCTTATATGTTTCAGCCTCCAGTCCCCTAATCATCTTTGTTGCTCTTCTCTGTACTCTTTCTAGAGTCTTAACATCTTTTTTTCTTAAGGTTTCTTGTCAAAGATCAACTTAAGAGGAAAGGAAAAACCCTGGTACATCTGTATTACACTGTGGTCAAATGAATTTAGAGGTCTAGACTGGAGAGAGGTAATCCTCTTCAACTGTCACTGTCAGGAACTAAAAAGGCATTTTGCATTAACCACAACTAGATATCACCTTTGCTGAAACCAGTGCTGCCTGTGGCTGTGCCTGTTTTCAACAAAGAAATTTATTTTGTATAATTAGGTAAGAACCCCTAGGAGAAAACACCTTTGAAACCATTTTGGAAAACATCCAGGAAGAGGACATTTTCATCCTATCTTCTCCTATAGAACTGGCAAATGACACTTGTTAGTTAATGCCCACTAAGGCAAAAAGAAACAACCATGCATAAACACAGAAGAAAAAAAGCACACACCGAAAAGCATGACAGCTGTTGTATTTACTTGGATAAAAGGAAAAGCATATTGGTATGGGATTAGATTGAAATTTAAAGGCTTAGAATTTATACATAGTATTGCTATATAGCAGTGATGGCGAACCTTTTAGAGACCGAGTGCCCAAACTGCAACCCAAAACTCACTTATGCATCGTCGGGTGCCGGGTGGGTGTGGCCCATTGGGTGGGTGTGGCCCATTGGGTGGGCGTGGCTGCAATAGTAATGGCAGACTGGATGGGATTAAAAAGTTCAATCAATCAATTCCAACTTTGCAAGATCTTTTTTTTCCCCGCAAGAAGTTGAAATTGACTGATTGATTGAACCTTTTTTTTTTTTTTGCACACGGCAGCGGACGCCTAAAATGAAAAGGTTTTATAAAACCCAGCTGAAGGCCTAGGACTGGGGCGATGGCGCGCGTGCCCACAGAGAGGGCTCTGAGTGCCGCCTCTGGCACCCGTGCCATAGGTTCGCCACCACTGCTATATAGCTTACTAATCACTATTTTGTATATGATTTCAATATTTTTTTCTTTTTCGGAGTATGTTTCATTCTTTTTGCTAGCTTCTGACTAAAGCAATAAATGTCTTTCTGCTCTTAAATGAATTTTGGCTCAGGATTTTTCTTTAGTGCGAACATTAACTAATCCATATATTGTACTGGAAAAGAATTGCAATAAAGCCCATTGGACTCCATTGCAAGCTTCTCACATGAAATTGTTTGTTGTTGTTATTAGTTATTGCGAAGTTATGTCCGACCCATTGCGACCCCATGGACAATGTTCCTCCAGGTCTTCCTGTCCTCTACCATCTTCTGGAGTCCATTTAAGCTCTCGCCTACTTCTTCAGTGACTCCATCCAGCCACCTCATTCTCTGTCGTCCCCTTCTTCTATTGCTCTCAATCTTTCCCAGCATTAGGCTCTTCTCCAGTGAGTCCTTCCTTCTCATTAGGTGGCCAAAGTATTTGAGTTTCAACTTCAGGATCTGGCCTTCTAAAGAGCAGTCAGGGTTGATCTCCTCTAGGACTGACCGGTTTGATCACCTTGCAGTCCAGGGGACTCGCAGGAGTCTTCTCCAGCACCATAGTTCAAAGGCCTCAATTCTTTGGCACTCAGCCTTTCTTATGGTCCAACTTTCACAGCCATACATTGCAACTGGGAAAACCATAGCCTTGACTATACGTACTTTTGTTGGCAGGGTAATGTCTCTGCTTTTTAGTATGCTGTCTAGATTTGCCATAGCTTTCCTCCCCAGGAGCAAGAGTCTTTTAATTTCTTGGCTGCAGTCCCCATCTGCGGTGATCTTGGAGCCCAGGAAATCTGTCACTACCTCCATTTCTTCCCCATCTATTTGTCAGGAATTGAGAGGGCCAGATGCCATGATCTTGGTTTTCTTAATGTTGAGTTTCAAGCCAACGTTTGCACTCTCCTTCTTCACCCGCATCAAGAGGCTCTTTAGTTCTTCTTCACTTTCTGCCATTAGAGTGGTATCATCTGCAAATCTTAGGTTGTTGATATTTCTCCCGGCAATCTTAATTCCAATTTTTGATTCATCTAGCCCTGCCTTTCTCATGATGTGCTCTGCATATAAGTTAAATAGGCAAGACGACAGAATACAGCCTTGCCGGATTCCTTTCCCAATTTTGAACCAATCGGTGGGTTCCGTGTCTAGTTCTCACTGTTGCTTCTTGACCCGCATACAGGTTTCTCAAGAGATGGTACTCCCATCTCTTTAAGAACTTGCCACAATTTGTTGTGATCCACACAATCAAAGGCTTTAGCATAGTCAATGAAGCAGAAGTAGATGTTTTTGTAAAACTCCCTAGCTTTCTCCATGATCCAGCATATGTTGGCAATTTGATCTCTAGTTCCTCTGCCTCTTCGAAATCCTCCCTGTACTTCTGGAAGTTCTCGATCCTCTTATTGCTGGAGTCTAGTTTGTAGGATTTTAAGCATAACTTTACTTGCATGTGAAATGAGTGCAATGGTGTGATAGTTTGAACATTCTTTGGCATTGCCTTTCTTTGGAATTGGAATGTAAACTGACTTTTTCCAATCCTGTGGCCACTGTTGAGTTTTACAAAATGCTCTGGCCCACAAAGAATAAAGTAGGCTTTTGGGAAGAGGTGAATTGTCTACCTACCTCAATCTGACAATGGTTTCCAGCAATTAGTATGTAAGACATATAGAGACGAGAGGGAGACAAGGAAAATGCCATGCATACTGTTATAGTCCTAATTGTGTCCATTCCCCACCCCCCATTTATAGTTTTAAAGTTTTTTAAGCAGTTGATAATTTAAGAAGGCACCTGACTTCTTATCCTGTGGCAGATGAATTTGGTCAGAAGGATGATGTCGAAGACTTGGGTCCAGAGCCACTTGTCTAAAAAGTCTTAGGTGCAGTTGTGATAAAATTCTCATTGTTATTACCAAATTATAATGAATGTGATATAAGTATAAACATATCAAATACATCCATGTAGAGTAATCATATTAACTATATTTAAATTTACATTTAGTATAAGAATGTCTGTATAATTAAAGATTCTTTTGACTTATTCAAGAACTCTCCAATATTACCATGAGATTAGAATTGTTACAGTGAGAAAATTATTAAATGCATGGGGAATACTTATATTCAGATTACGCGTGTAATATTTTTTGTTCTGAAAGTTTTTCAGATCTTCATTCTGAAAGAGATTGCATAACCTACAGTAAGGAGGGCAGTACTTTATATATTTAGCACAGTTCAACAAGAATTTTTTAAGGAATGTGTATAAGACTGTTTTCTCCAGGATAATAGTCTATATGACTACTTTTTATCAGACGACTCTTTTAGTACATGAGCTGCTTCTCTACTATTTTGTGCATTATATAACTCACAGTGTCTAACTCTAACTTATTAGTTTCCTTTGTTTTGCTTGTTTTTACACTTATTGCCTATTGCCTTATTGCCAATAGTCTATTAAAACTATAGATTTTGAGAATAAATGTTTCTTTTGATGAATCAATGATTTTGGCCCTAGAATGTATTACTTGCAAACCATCTCTCCCACAATTCCTTAATTTAAAAATCTCTTTAGTTCCAATCCTGTGCATTACAATTTATTTTCCTGAATATTTTTCCATACATACCTTGCACATCTTTTTTGGGGCCAGACCCACTTTTTTCATTTTTTTTCATGCTTGAGCTTGATTTTTGCTTCTGTTTAACAGATGTTTTGTCAATGGCAGGAAATTTAGCTTCTGATTTATTCCCATGAGATTTTACATTTGATTTTGGATCACTTCCAGAAATTTCGTCAGATGGGATCTGGTAATTTGAAAAGAAATGCTTAACTATTAGCCATAAAATTAATTTTAATATGCCATATATTAGGAAAATTACTTCCTCTTTAGAGGAATTTCTTCCTTTAATTTTCAATAGTAAATCTTTCTGTCAGGATTATGGCTGGAAAAATTAAGCTTCTTTTCCTCAAATGAGGAAATTTCCTACCTCTGCTTCTATTAATATTAATCGTTTGGCTCAAAATTATTTTTCAACCTTGTTTATGAAACTAAGCTGGTAGTTTCAAGTGCCTCAGTCTCCAATGTGGCATCAAATACACCATCCACTAATATCACCACTGAGGCTCATGTGATTAAACCCTACTATTTTTTTTAAAGATTCTTTGAAGCAAAAATATTAAATTGGAAGGTAGCATGCTATAATGATAAAGCACCAATTTAATTTCCAAAAATGTCTTTGGAACCCATGTACATACCAGAAGCATTCTTAGAAAATAAATAAAGTGGCAGCTGCAACCTATTTATTTAGAAATGTGCCCACATGCCCAGAAATAAAGGTATGCTAAAACGATAGACACAGAGGTGGGATTCATCTGGTTTGCACCGGTTCAGTAGAACCGGTACCTAATTTTTTTGAGTTTGGCAGAAACCCCCCACCGCCCAATTGTGCAAATTGAGAACATTAATAATTATCAGGTTCACCTAACCTACAAAGGTACTTTTTCCTAATTTCTGGCAACCGCGAGGCGGGATAACATGAAAACCCATTTCCTGAGGCTGGGCAAAAGATAATTTCACAAGTCGCCTCCATAGTCTGCCCTTCTGATGGGTGCAGCCACTACATCAAGTGGTGCTCTGCACAGCCGGTCAACGTATCTCTATGGCTTCCGCTTTCACTTTTCCTGTTTCTGGTCTCTCCCTCCTTCGGCGGTAGCAGGGCCTGTCGGGCGATGGCGGCTCTACATGGTCTCTGTATTCCGGTGAAGGCGATTGAGCTGGAGCCCATGGAAGTGGAGGAGGGAGAGCTATTGCTTCAGATTGGAGCCCCCACTACCTCCTCATCTCTACTATGGCATCAGCAGAGGAACTAGCTGTGCCAATGGAGCGCTTGCTGAGGCAGCTGCTGCCCGTTACGGAGCCGGGAAATGGGCCAGGTGGGGGGGGACTGCCAGTGCCTCTGCCACGAGGCGAAGCTGCTGGAGGAAGGGGGATCGGACCCACATATTCCGCTTCCCAGTATCCTACCGCAGCTTATCATGCTGCCTCACTGGTGCTGCAGCACAATGCCACATCCCCGTGATGTGGCGGCATGCCAAAATTGGCCGCAGCACCAGTGGGGCTGGTTTCCGGGGCCGTTTCCCTGGCTCCGTTACCGGCAGCAGTTGCCTCAGCGAGCGCCCCACCGGCACAGCTAGTTCCTCTGCTGATGCCGTAGCAGAGGTAAGGGGGTAGCGGGGACTCCAGTCTGAAGCAATAGCTCGTCCTCCTCCACTTCCATGGGCTCTGGCTCAGTCGCCTTCACTGAAATACAGAGGCCCTGTAGAGCCGCCATCGCCCCACAGGCCCCACTACCTACCGATGGATTTCTTCTCTATTTCTTTTTACAGTTTATAAGCCAGTGGTGTCGAACCTGTGGCACGCGTGCCAGAGGCGGCACACAGAGCCCTCTCTGTGGGCACGCGCCGTTGCCCCAGCAGAGTTCGCTAGAGTAGCGAGCATGTGGCGTTTGGAAGTGACAGGGCAGGAAGTGAGTGAGCAAGCAGTGTTGGCCCCCCAGGGATGCCCCAGAGATGGCGAGGGACTGGCCCTGGCCACGCTCACCCAGTCTGCCGTGACCACTGCAGCCATGCCCACCCAGTGGGCCACGATCCCCCCCCCAAGGGCACCACAATGCTGATGCAGCCCTGGCATTTTGCGATAAATAAGTAGGTTTTGGGTTGCAGTTTGGGCACTCGGTCTCTAAAAGATTCGCCATCACTGTTATACGCCAACCATCTTCCCGGCTTATCTGCATTTTTGAAAAAGTTTTGTTTTACCCTTTTAATTTGTTCGGAGAGTATGTTATCTTTACTTAACTTTCTATTAAACAAGCAATCTTATTTTCAGAAAAGAGAAGAAAGCTCCTCTAGCAATACTCTTAGAAAATTGAATGGGCTCTAATAAATTTCACAAAGAAAAATTTCCAAAACATTTTTGCTCTTGTTATTCCTCTTCATCCTCCTTTGGTGCTACCTTTCAGCTCCAATTCTCAGCAACAATGTTACAAGACCTAAAGAAAATGAAATGTTTGTTGAATTGGAAAAAAAACTGATTATCCAAGAGTTATGGTCTTCAGCCTTCACAATAATTCTAAGATGTACAGTAATGTGAACTGCTGTGCTCTAGAATGAAAAAAAAATACATTGACAGCTGATCCACCTGGATTATGAATTTTTAAAAGCTTCGTGAGTTTTTAATCAGAATATTTTTCTACTTCACATTTAAAGTTAGCAAATACTTGCCTGTCTATTAACAGGAAGTCTTGAAATCCATGGCCTTTCATATCTACGCACTGGAGAAATAGATGATAAACTTCTCTGCCTCAGTTCTTGTCTGCTGTGTTCTTGTTTTTTATCAGACTGGTCTTTAATGTGCTCTTGTTTTCTCAGGCAAGCCTAATAAATAAGGCATGTGTCTATTTTAAATGAGTTGCATATGAAGGCTTACATTCAAACAATAGCTAATGGAATCTGGCCACACATCCATAACACCCTCTGCCAATTTTCCCCAATCAGAAGATCTCCAGATTTCTAGAAGTATATGTCCTAGTATCCCCAGCCAACAATGTTTAATTTGGGGAAGACTACTTCTGCTTCATGTTCTTTGTAAGAAAATCAAGATACTGAAATATAATGTATAACCTGATACTCTGAATCCATCTTGTGCTGCATCTCTCTTAGGTATTGAGCATCACTGATAAACTTCTGTCTTTCCTTTGCTTCATACATGGCAATATTTCAGGAAAACCTATAAAAAAATATATTCAAATTACATCTTTATTGCAGTCACAGACCAGCATAAGAAAGGTGGGATGCAGTCATTTAAAAAGGATAATGGATATATCAAATATATAAATCTAAAAAAAATAAAAAGCTAGAAGATATAAAAGATATAAGAATTAAAATTTAAAAGTACTTATAAAAAGCAGAATCTAAAAGAAGGGATAGGAACAATGGAGGGCATGGGGGGGGAGAAAAGGTTGTATGTGGAAAACTGAATCAAATTACAAAGCACTCTGATATGGTGAACTAGGTTGTTATCAGATCTAGTTTATAACAGGTCATTATAATCTGATGATAATTTTGAGCATAGCTGCACAGAACTTGGCAACGTTATCTGTTGTAGCATTATAGGTATCTAAAAGCAACAGGGTGGTATAAAATTGTCCTGTGTACCTTGCATATCCATGCAGTAATGGTGAGATGAGGTTAATATCAAAGTTTTGGTAGTATAGGCACTGAAGAAGCATGCATTCTGTTGTTTCTGTATTTCCAGAGTCAGAGGGGCATTGAATTTCCAAGCTAGGAATTTTCCTGTATTAGTATCATGGCTCAAAACTCAGAGACTGATTCTGAAGGCAAAGAATCATAATTGTTAATAGCCTCGGGAGACACAGAGCCAAGAACTACATGGGCACCACAGCTGGTTTGACAACTCTGACTTGGCTCTCAAAATCTTGGACTGGACTTTGATTATTCTTCTGTGCACTCCTGTTAAAAGCAACCACTCTTAACATCATGAATGCATTCAAAGCTCTTCCCCGCCCTCATCTTGGCTCTTCTGACCATTTCTGTGTTTTGTTTATCCCAGCATATAAATCTCTATTACTTAGAGAAAAACCAACAGTGAAGCGGGTGAGGGTTTGGGCAGAGGGAGCTATAGAAGCATTACAAAATCTCTTTGAGTGCACATATTGGGGCATGTTTTTTTTATAACAAATTTTTATTAGTTTTCCAGTTTTCCAGTTTGGAAAGCAACATGGTGATTGGATTAGTCAATAATTCAATTAACAACATCTTTAGTACATATCTCAGGTTACATCATCTAAAATTCTTTCTCTATTTCCCTTAACATTTGCTATATCATATTTAAGCTAGTAAATTTCTAATTATTATCAAACTCAATTAAAACACTTATCAATATATTTTACTTATACCTATCCATATCCTGTTTTTATGTTTTACCTAATTTTAATATTTAAATCCAATATTCCAATTTAACCTTTAATATCCATAGTATTTAATTTTCGGGTAGTCCAAATTTCCTTTATTTCACTACATAGAAGTTATACTATCTAAAATAGAGATATTACTTACGTAAATATATTATTTTATTTCATAAACATTTTCTATTTCTCATCCTAGTACATCACCACAATAATGGAGTATCCTTTATTATCTCAAATCCATGATCTACGTTATCTGGCTAAACAATAATTCAAAGCTATTTCCTAATAATTAATTTTCATTTCCCTTATAAATCTAAGTCCTCAATAATAAGCCAATTAATCCCTTGTTTTTTATTATTTTCCAACAGTATTTAAATCTAATAATCAAAGTTCCCTTCATCTCAAAGTCTCCCTTTAGCCCATTAATTGAAACTTTAGCATCCTCTCTAATAAATCAAAAGACCCCATTTTTTAAATCTAACTCTAGCTTTCTTTTTATGCCAACCAGGCTTCCATACCAATGCTTTTGGATCATCAGATAGATCTCCCTTCATTCTTGTACATGTTACTTGAACTAAAGGAGACCATCTAATTATCAATTTTCTAGGAAAAACTGGCCCATTTATAATCATTAAGTTGTCACCCTAGCGGCACAGCTCCCCGTATTTGCTCTAGTATATTTGTCTTCCATTCGATCTGGTCTTTTTCTTCCTCAGGTTTTGTCTGGTTTAAGTAAAAAGTCATGTCCAATTTTGTAGTTGTTGTTTGATTGTCTAAGTTATCAATAGGTTGTACTTGTTGATCTTTGACGCCCTCCGTCTTGGTATTATTTTTTTTCGCTTCTGATGTTTTTTGAATTGTAGGTTCTTTAGTTGCAATCAGAGTTTGATTGATTAAATTTTCAATACATTGTACTTGTTGTCTTTAAAGTCCTCTGTCTTGGTGTTAGTTTCTTCTGCTTTGTTGTTTTTTGGATTGTAAATTTTTTAGTTGCAATCAGGGTTTCGCTTTGTAGATTTAAGCTGGCGTCTTTGTCTTTCAGTCTAGATTTAATTATCTCAGTAGCTTCAAGAATTTTTTCAAGCATAAGGGTTTTTTTTGTTTTTTTTTAAATAAAGTTTTATTAATTTTTATAATTAAACAACAAATACCAATATGATGCATTTACATACAGAAGCAGTAAAAATAATCCAAATCCATACCTTTTTTTTTTTTTGGAGACGCTCAGCGGCCCCCGCCTTGCCTTCACCCTCATCCACTTTCCTGTCCTTCCTCCCTCTCATCCCACAACCTCTCCACCTTCCTCCTTTCCACCTCCTACATCCCCACTCCCTTCTTAACCGCCTCTTCGAGTGCAGTTTGGGGTACCAGCTGAGCATCTCCTCTTTTCAATACAGTTATTATTTAACTATAACATATAAATACATCAATTTTTATAATTTCAGTCCCCTAATCCCCTTCCCCCCTCCCCCCCGACTTCCCAGAGCTGAATACAGGATTAAACATATAATAATCCAAATTTAACCCAAGCAACCCAATCATAATATAAACAAGTATAAACTTACTTTAACTCTAACATATAACCCCCTTAACTATGAACTATATATTTAAATTATATATAGAAATATTTACAAGTAACAATAATTATTCAAAAGCTATATGATAATTGTTCATTTCATATTTTCTCTGAATATAATCTATCCATCTTCTCCATACCAAAATAAATTTCTCTTGATATTGATCCTTCAGGTATGCGGATATTTTTGCCATTTCTGCAAAATATGAAACTTTCTGTCTCCAATCATCCATATTCGGTAACGTCTCCTTTTTCCAATTTTGAGNCTCCAAGTCCTTTTACTTCCACCATCCATTAAAAATTCCATCCATACAGGGCTATGATCTGATAAAGTCCTAGGAAAAATCTTCACTTTTTTAACCCTAGAGATCAAATCACTAGTAATCAAAATAAAATCAATTCTAGAGTGAGATTGATGTCTATCTGAAAAAAAAGTAAAATCACTTTCTCCTATATTCCAATCTCACCATATGTCTTTTAACTCCAAATCCTCTTGCAATGCAAAAAAACTTTTAGGCAATTTGGTTTGAGTTGAAGCTTTAGAAAAAGTTTTTTTTTTATCTCTTTTAGGGTCTATTACACCATTCCAATCTCCCATCATAATAATAGATTTATAATCCAATTGTATTATCTTTTGATGTAAAAAACTGTTTCTGCTGTTGGTATTGGTTAGGTGCATATATGCCAGCAACAAGACACTTTTTCCCATTCAATAAAAGTTCAATAAGCACAAATCTTCCTTCGATATCTGATTCTATTAACTTTGGCAGTAACTCTTTTTTAACATAAAAAATTATACCTGCTTTTTTCTTTGGTGCAGGGGCTATAAAATGTAGACCCAATTTAGAGTTTACCAAATATTTTTGATCTTTTGACACAATATGAGTTTCTTGTATACATATGATATCATTTTTATATTGTTTCAAATAATGAAATATTTTCTTCCTTTTTTGTGGTGAATTCAGTCCATTAACATTTAAGGTCATTAACTTAACCATCTTTCGGCTTTTGGAGCTTCTGAATCATTCCTTGCAGGTCTGTCATAACAGATCTTTTAGGCCTGGCTCCTCCCACTGGCTCCGAGGTAAAAGAATACGTTTGAGGCACAGATTCCTTCTGTTGTTCTCTTTCCCTTCGTTTATGCGCTGCACGTGTCATCCTCTGCTCTTTTGAATCAGCTTTCACCTCCATCAATTGCTGATTCTGGGAATCAACTACAGGCAACGATGTAGCTCCAGGCACTTCTACAACCAATTATTCCACTTCTTCCATTCCTTTAGTTGGTAACATGGGAGATGAATCTACTTTCAGAACCGTTAAGTAAAAATTTTTGGCCTTCTGAACTGTATCAAGTTTATAACGATTCCCAGCATAATTCAAAACTAGTCCAACAGGTATCTCCCATCTAAAAGGCACTTGTCTTTTCTTTAACTCCTGAGCCAGAAAGGCAAATTTCTTTCTTTTTTAAAATTTTTTTGAAGGTATCTCTTTCAAAATTATAACATCTTGAGCAGCAATCTGAAATCTCTGTTGGTAAAAAGCTTTTATAATATCATTTCGACATGTTTTTCTGGAGAAGTAAACAACCACGTCTCTAGGCAAATTTCTCTGACGTGCCACCCATGAGTTTACTCTATATGCTTTTTCAATCTCTCCATATATAATTTCAGGATCAGAGTCAGTAGCCTGGGCTATGGCAGCTGCTACCTCCTCCCTCAATTTCTCTTGTAAATTCTCCTTAAGTCCTCTGATTCTTATGGCATGTTCCATTTCTCTGTACTGTGACATTACAATATCATTTTGAATAATCTCCACACCTTCTTCTATTTTCTCTATTCTCTCCTCCATTCCCTCCATGTTCTCCACCACTTCCTCCACATGTCCCTCTAAACGATCCACATGAAAAGCAAAACCTTGAAAAATTTGGGACATGTTTTCACACAATTCATCATTTTTCTTACCAAGAAGTTCTTCTGTTTCAGCTCTCATCTGTTGTACTATCTGTTTAGAAATCTGTGCCAGAGAGTCCTGCAAATCTTTAAGAGAAATATAAGGAGGAGGGGAGGGTGGAGGAGTTTTGGCTTTCTGTTGTGTGGGTTGTATAGCTGGTGAGGGAGTAGCTGCTTTAGGTACAGCAGAAGTTCCAGTACGTTTAGAAGCCATTCTTAATTTTAAAAAAGTCTTAATAGTCAGTCCAGAACAGTAGGTATTCAAACAAAATTT